ATCTTTCAATTTCACTCAGCGGTGCGATTATCTTACTGCTTTGGCTCTAGAAGTCATCGTAAGTGTCTGTTTTCGTAAACAAAAGATTAAATTAGAATTGAACAAGATCTCTGCTAGTAATTTATATTTTAGATTGGCTGTTCAGCATGCTAAAATTAGCCGGATAAATTCAGAAATGGGGATATCTTCTCTCACTACTTTTGATTATGAAAAGGAGCATATTCGAAGGATTTGGTGGGTGTTATATAGGGATTTTTCATTCTTTTCCAAACACTTGGATTATGACACTGTAGAAGAAAGTGATAATCAATTGTTCTTGCCTTCAAACAGATTCTATTTTGAATCGCCCACAAGCACAGACTATTATGGAATAGAAGTAATGACTAGCCCTGACTGGTATACTTGTTCGATACCAAATCTTGAAATAGAAGCCTACCACAGCATTTTACTTCGAATTCAGCTAAAAACGAAACGGTATTTTGAACTGGATCTGACTGGGGATTCGATCGAATCTCTATATGCAGCTGGCAGCATTAATGCTTCCTTGGTTGATTGGAGGATTGAGTTTCTTCCAAAGTTTCAACGGTATATTGGCATTATCAAACACCGACAAGCAGGAGAACAGGATAGCGCATGGTTTGCGGTATATATATGTATATTATACTACAGCATCAGGATCAATTTGGTTATCCCCTCAATTATGAGAAATGTAATAAATGGGAGGAGCGTTCAAAAACAGCTGCATTTCAAGGAAATCTTTGCCGCTGCAATTGGCTGTTCCAAACTGGTCGAATTAATCATGCAGTATAACCCTAGATTAGAGTACTTTGAAGTGGTTGCACTTTTGAAGCTGTTTCCGCCGTGCTTCTTTTTGCAGTGCTGCACAAAGTTGGAAATTAGTGGTGCCCAACCAGCATATGAAAATCTTCTTAGACTGATCAGACAGTTCAGCTTTGCGTTCCAAAAACTAAACCAGTTTCATAAGATTATGCAGTATATGGAATCAATGGATCTGTTGGACGCCGTTATTTATTATGGTATTTTTATCGGGAGGGTAAAAGATGAAATCATGGAAATACCAGCTGCTAGCAAGGACGAGCTAGTAGAGAATTTCAGTAAAGTAAAGCTGGGTTAGCGCTTGGTAAAAAATAAAGCTGTAGTGTTAGTTAATTAGCTGTAAGGATATTGATAAGAATTCAATTTCTAGTTTCAACCAAAGTCAATTCCGCAACCTTCATTGATGTGTAAAAATTGCAGTAGATCACTCACCTGCCCACCGTTTGATTCTTTGGAAATACGGAAACTAAGCAGCTAGATCACCATATGGACCACGGCATCACTGTTACCAAACCCATCAGTTAGTATTTCAACCACCCTTATTGCGACAGATTTTGCTCCCTTTTTTCCATTTTTCCACTTAGATCCGCTTGATGATTTTCAAAAAACTAAAGTATGCTTGTGATTTCTGCACTAAAAGAGTAAATTTCGGATTTATATAGAAACGGAAATGTGATAGGATGCAGCCTTGCAGCTTTTGCAAAAGTAAACGAGCACATTGTACATACTCACAGCAAAAAGAGTTTGAAATACAGCTGGCGGATATTGAACAACGGATTAAGCAGATGGAAATAAATTTATTAAGTCCAAATAATGGTATCCTGCGGAAACGGGATAAAGTGCGGCCTATTATAAAGCATATTGCTTTAACACCAGAGTTGGAGCATCGTTTGTTTGAAGAAGATCATGAACATTTGCTGGAATTGCGATTCGAAAGGTTCCCCTGCGTAATATTTGGGATAATGGAGGAATTCTACAGACAATCAGCTAAAATTTTTTGGCCATTAAGGTTCGCACTTTTTGCCAGCGGAGCACTATTTATTACCCCGGATCAATTACCGGATGGAGTATCGGACAGAATTGAGCTGGTAAATTTATATCTACAAAAAGCGCAGTCATTTAATTTTGGAGAAAGGTGCGACCATTTAACAGTCCTCACTTTGGAAGTCATCTGCAATATCTGTTATCGTACTTTTCACTAATTTAGATATTAACAGCACCGAGGAAGCCATTCTTTATTTCAAGCTAGCATTGCAACAAGCAAGAATTTCAGGAATCAACTCTGAACATGGAATATCAAAGATCTCTTTATTTGACTATGAAAAAGAGAATATCAGGAGGATTTGGTGGATACTGTATAGAGACTATTCATTTCTTTGCAACATTATTGGGTTTAGAACGATGGACGACCAAGAAAATTTGCTGTTTCTACCTTCAAACAAATTCTATTTTGAATCCGCTCACTCTAGTGACTATTATGGGGTAGAAATCATGACCAGTGATGAATGGTATACCGCCTGTCTGCCTTGCCAAGAAGTTGATGGATACCATATGTTGCTGCAACGAATACAGTCTAAAATGTTTCACCACTTTGAAATAGAACTGTCTGAAAATGACACTTTATCACTCTATAGTGCTGGGGCTATTAACGCATCGTTAGCAGACTGGATTCATTTATTCTCTCCCAATTTGCAAAAGGCATTTAATTCGGTGCGGAGCGGTGCCTTGGAAAACCGGGAAACAACTTGGTTTACAATCTACACGGCATTTGTCTACTGCAGTATCAGGGTGAACTTGATTATACCAACAATGATACGGAATGTGATTAAGGGCAAAAAGGTCATGAAGCAGCTGTATTTCAAGGAAGCAGTTGAATCCGCTGTGACGAGTACTAATTTAATACAGGTAGTTATTCAATTTAATCCCAAACTTGAATTTCTCGCGGCTGCTGTACTATTATCGCTGTTTCCCACGGGGTTCTTTTTGCTGTGTTGTGCCAAAATGGGAATACCAAAATGCGAAGAATATTACAAGCAACTGCTGGATGGCATCAAGAAGTTTAGCAGGGCTTTCCAAAAACTGAATCAGTTTTACGGCATTTTATTGCTTTTGCAATCAAAGGACTTGCTGGAGGCTGTGATGTATTATGGAATGTTCATCACCAGACAGAACACAGAACTCATGGAGAGGCCAGCTGCCCACCATATTGGGGCATTTGCTGAATTAGATATTAAATAAAAGTTGAGATACAATTTTGAATCTGGCCATACATAGAATTGGGAAAAAGATCATATTCGTCTGATTAAAGCCATTTATTGGTTGCATAGTAGATTGCTACCGAATAGAATCATCTTGACAAAATCCAATATTTTCATGGAGTGGATTTTCTCAACTTCCCCGAAAAGCATGATTTTCAAAAAGATGACTTATTCCTGCGATTTCTGCACAAAAAGAGTACCAACTGTTTGATTTAGAAGCGCAGATGCGATAGGAAGCAGCCATGTTCGTTTTGTGAAAGCAGACATTCAAAGTGCGAGTATTCCAAACAATGGGAATTTGAACTTCATTTGCTTAAGGTTGAAGAACGCATAAAACAAATGGAGCAAACCCTGCTGAGTCCTACCAACAGCGTCTTGCAAAGTAGAGAAAAGCTGCGGCCACAAATCAAACAAATCGTACTATCTAAAGAATTGGAGCAAGAATTGTTCACGAAAGATCACAACCATCTACTGGAATTAAGATTCAAAAGGTTTCCCAGTGTTATTTACGGAGTAACAGAGCAGTACTATAGGGAATCTGCAAAAATATTTCCACCACTCCGATTTGCGTTATTTGCAAGCGGCGCATTGTACATCCCACAAGAGCTTTTACCACTGGGGATCTCGGACAGGATTGTGCTTGTCAATATATACCTCCAGAAAGCGCAGTCTTTCGACTTTGCACACAAGTGTGACCACCTTACTGTACTTGCCCTGGAAATCATTTTCAATATCCTCTACAGTATCTCTTCCTAACATAGATCTTAACTGCACTGAAGAAGCGGTTCTGTATTTTCGGCTGGCATTGCTACACGCAAAACTTTGCGAAATTAACACTGAAGTTGGAATTTCTAAAATTTCCTCCTTTGATTACGAAAGGGAAAACATTCGGAGGGCATGGTGGTTGCTCTATAGGAATTATACCTTTCTATCTAAAGTACTAGGATACGGATCGATTGAAGACAAAGAAAACCAGGTATTCCTTCCCTCAAACACTTTATATTTCGAAATGCATTCTGCTGCAGATTATTATGGAATTGAAATAATGACTAGCAGCGAATGGTACACAGCAAGTACCGGAGAGCTTGGTGTTAATGCTTACCACGCGATTCTGCACCGGATACAATCAAAAGTCCACCGCCATTTTGAACTTGAACTAACAGAAGAAAATGCATATTCATTATATACCGCGGGGGCAATTAACGCTTCTCTGAATGATTGGATGGATGGCTTTTCCCCTGTGCTTCAAAAAAGCATGTATAGTGTACGTGACCATTGCAAACATCGAGATACAGCCTGGCTAACCATTTATATCGCACTTATATACTGCAGTATCCGCATAAACCTGATACTCCCCTCGCTGATGCGGAATGTGATTAAAGGAAAGAAGGTTCAAAATTTAATGTATTTCAAAAATGCCTTGGACGCAGCGGTAACGAGCACACTGTTGGTGAAACTTGTTATACAATTCAACCCCACTTTTGAATTCTTTGCTACTGCTGCTCTTTTGACACTATTCCCTACTGGCTTCTTTTTGCTGTGCTGTTCGAAGCTTGGAATACCCTTTAGTGACGAATACTATAAGCAGATTCTCCATGGCATAAAGGAATTTAGTAGGGCATTTCAAAAGATTAACCAATTCCATTCTATCCTTGAAGTGTTGGAAACGCGCGAGCTGCTAGATGCTGTAATTTATTATGGAATCTTTGTTGCCAGGCAAGGGAGAGAATTCTATGAACGGCCCTCAAGCAAGCAATATTGATTTCAACCATGTCATAATAAAGTACCAACAATTGGGCATCAAGCTGAATTCTATCATGTGTCCGTTTAATAAATCGAGCCATCAAAAGCTTGATATTCAAATGCGATTGGTTTATAAAAGTACGATTTCTGGATTTTCAGTGGGCTAATGGTCTAAGGGTTATGATTTCCGCTTAGGGTGCGGGAGGTTCCCGGTTCGATCAAGCCCACCTGGGAGCGATTTTTTGCTTTCATCTCCAATTATCGCTGCATCATTCGCATTGGCAGCTGCTTGGCTATCTGCAGCCGATGTTGCTGGCTGATTGTTTTACTCAAGCGGTTTGCGAAATTCCACCCGAACCCGCCACAAATATGGTTATTGCAATATAGTCCAATGCTGGCAAAGATCACTTGCGGAAATGTTAGCTATGCTAGTCGGTACTAGACAGGCTTATTTTGGCTGGCTATCGAGAAATCAAAATTTGAACTAATATCATCCGGCAGCAAACGAATCGTCTGATCTCAACAGCTAAATATGGTGGAAAGCCAATCACATCTACAACTACAAAAAGATCCGAATTTCCTGCCAATTTCGATAAAAAATGTTTATTTGGGTATACATTCATCACATTTTCCCGCATTTTCCCTAAATTTTTCGGATATGATTTACAAAAAAGTTCGCTACAGCTGTGATTATTGCACAAAAAGAGTACGAAATTACTGATATAGAAACGCAAGTGTGATAGGCAGCAGCCGTGTTCGTTCTGCGTTGCCAAGAGCAATAAGTGTGAATACTCCAATCAAGCAGAAGTGGAAGAACAGCTGGAAAAGATTGAGCAGCGCATCAAGCAAATGGAGCGGCGGCTATTAGTCACTACCAAGTACCATCTTGAGAAAAAAGAGCAGGTGCATCCTACTATTATACATGTTACCCTGTCTCACGAACTACAGAAAGAGCTGTTTGAAAGGGACCACGAATACCTGTTGGAACTTCGATTTAAAAAGTTTCCAGGGATAATCCTGGGAATCACCGAAGAGTACTACAGACAGTCTGCAAAAATATTTTGGCCACTCCGATTCGCTCTCTACTCGTGCGGAGCATTATTTGTAAAGGATCATCAATTACCGCCTGGAATATCCAATAGGCTTGACCTTGTAAATCTTTTTCTCCAAAAAGCGCAGTCGTTCGATTATGCCAAATGCTGCGATCATATATCTGTGATGACCCTAGAGGTGATAACAAACGTCTGCTATCGTAATCACTTTGCTTATATAGAACTCAATTCAATAGACGAAGCCGTAATGTATTTCAGGCTGACGATCCAGTACGCAAGAATTTCCAAAATAAGTTGCGAGGAACAAATATCGAAAATAACACTATTTGACTACGAAAGGGAGCATATTAGGAGAATATGGTGGCTTGTATATAGAGACTACTGCTCGTTCCCCAAGCATGTGCCGTATGGAAGCATTTTGGCAGAAGAAAACAAACTATTTTTGCCATCAAGCAACATTTATTTTGAATTCGCCGGCTCGAGAGACTATTTTGGAATCGAAATAATGTCGAGTAAAGAGTGGTATACCTACACGTTGCCTGATCTGGATATCGAAGCACTACACATGATCATCCAAAGGATTCAGGAAAAGACAAACCATTATTTCAATATTGAACTAACGGGCAACAACAACGAATCGCATTATATTGGCGGGTGTATTAATGCATCTATGATTGACTGGATGAGTGTATTTACTGTCAAATTTCAGTTAGCAAAGTTTACAATTACAAACCAAATTGAAAAAGATCAAGACAAGGCTTGGTTCACTATTTACATTTCAATGGTATATTTCAGTGCTAGAATCAATTTAGTTCTTCCAGCCTTTATGAGGAATGTTATTGACGGGAAAAAAGTTACGGAGCAGCTGTATTTTAAGGAAGCGCTGGACGCTGCTGTATCCTGTGCACAAGTTGTTGAACTTATCATGAAATTCAATCCGGATTTGAAATACATGGCTATGATCTTGGTGTTTGCCCTATTCCCGGTAGGATTTTTCCTTCTGTGCTGTAAAAAGCTGCTTATCGACGAAGCTACCATTTCTTTTAAAATCATTATAAAAGGATTTCAGCGATTCTGCCACGCATTCCAGAAATTAAACCAGTTCCATAATATCTTGCTTCATATGGAGCTGCTGGATCTCATCGATTCTGTGATTTACTACGGGATCTTTATTGGACGCCAAAAGGGGGAGATTATGGAGCGACCTGCACCAAGCCATATAGAATTGATGGAATATCTTTTAATTAAATAAATTGTTTTGAATCAGAATTCAAGTAGCTGGTGTGGCACCACACATAAAATTCAAGAATGGGTTTAATTTTTTTATTATGCTGAACCAGAGAAAGATTCGGTATTCGTGCGATTATTGTACCAAAAGGGTAAGCAATCACTAAAAAGAAACGCAGATGCGATAGGGAGCAGCCTTGTTCAAACTGCGAGAATAGAGGAGCGAGGTGTGAATATTCCGGGCAAGAACAAGCACTAAAGAAATTGCAGTCGATTGAACAGAGGATAAAGCGGCTAGAGCAGAGCCTGTTGCGTCCGTCCAACTATACAAATGAACAAAAATATACCAAACCAGCCACAATAATCTATATTTCATTAACAGCGGAATTGGAAAAGCATCTGTTTGAAACAGATCATGATTACCTACTAAAACTGCGCTTCGAGAAATTTCCACCTGTTGTATTTGGTATTTCTGAGCAATATTACAGACAATCAGCAACGATATTTTGGCCACTGCGCTTTGCATTGCAAGCAAACGGTGCACTATTCATTGAAGAACATCAGCTACCAAACGGAGTGTCTGATCGAATTGAACTGGCCAGCATCTATTTGCAGAAAGCACAATCTTTCAATTTCACTCAGCGGTGCGATTATCTTACTGCTTTGACTCTAGAAGTCATCGTAAGTGTCTGTTTTCGTAAACAAAAGATTAAATTAGAATTGAACAAGATCTCTGCTAGTAATTTATATTTTAGATTGGCTGTTCAGCATGCTAAAATTAGTCGGATAAATTCAGAAATGGGGATATCTTCTCTCACTACTTTTGATTATGAAAAGGAGCATATTCGAAGGATTTGGTGGGTGTTATATAGGGATTTTTCATTCTTTTCCAAACACTTGGATTATGACACTGTAGAAGAAAGTGATAATCAATTGTTCTTGCCTTCAAACAGATTCTATTTTGAATCGCCCACAAGCACAGACTATTATGGAATAGAAGTAATGACTAGCCCTGACTGGTATACTTGTTCGATACCAAATCTTGAAATAGAAGCCTACCACAGCATTTTACTTCGAATTCAGCTAAAAACGAAACGGTATTTTGAACTGGATCTAACTGGGGATTCAATCGAATCTCTGTATGCGGCTGGCAGCATTAATGCTTCATTGGTTGATTGGAGGATTGGGTTTCTTCCAAAGTTTCAACGGTATATTGGCATTATCAAACACCGACAAGCAGGAGAACAGGATAGGGCATGGTTCGCGGTATATATATGTATATTATACTACAGCATCAGGATCAATTTGGTTATCCCCTCAATTATGAGAAATGTAATAAATGGGAGGAGCGTTCAAAAACAGCTGCATTTCAAGGAAATCTTTGCCGCTGCAATTGGTTGTTCCAAACTGGTCGAATTAATCATACAGTATAACCCTAGATTAGAGTACTTTGAAGTGGTTGCACTTTTGAAGCTGTTTCCGCCGTGCTTCTTTTTGCAGTGCTGCACAAAGTTGGAAATTAGTGGTGCCCAACCAGCATATGAAAATCTTCTTAGACTGATCAGACAGTTCAGCTTTGCGTTCCAAAAACTAAACCAGTTTCATAAGATTATGCAGTATATGGAATCAATGGATCTGTTGGACGCCGTTATTTATTATGGTATTTTTATCGGGAGGGTAAAAGATGAAATCATGGAAATACCAGCTGCTAGCAAGGACGAGCTAGTAGAGAATTTCAGTAAAGTAAAGCTGGGTTCAGCGCTTGGTAAAAAATAAAGCTGTAGTGTTAGTTAATTAGCTGTAAGGATATTGATAAGAATTCAATTTCTAGTTTCAACCCAAGTCAATTCCGCAACTTTCGTTATTGTGCAGTAGATCACTCACCTGCCCATCGTTTGATTCTTTGGAAATACGGAAACTAAGCAGCTAGATCACCATATGGACCACGGCATCACTGTTACCAAACCCATCAGTAGTACTTTAACCACCCTTATCGCGACAATTTTGCTCCCTTTTTTTCCATTTTTCCACTTAGATCCGCTTGATGATTTTCAAAAAACTAAAGTATGCTTGTGATTTCTGCACTAAAAGAGTAAATTTCGGATTTATATAGAAACGGAAATGTGATAGGATGCAGCCTTGCAGCTTTTGCGAAAGTAAACGGGCACATTGTACATACTCACAGCAAAAAGAGTTTGAAATACAACTGGCGGATATTGAACAACGGATTAAGCAGATGGAAATAAATTTATTAAGTCCAAATAATGGTATCCTGCGGAAACGGGATAAAGTACGGCCTATTATAAAGCATATTGCTTTAACACCAGAGTTGGAGCATCGTTTGTTTGAAGAAGATCATGAACATTTGCTGGAATTGCGATTCGAAAGGTTTCCCTGCGTAATATTTGGGATAATGGAGGAATTCTACAGACAATCAGCTAAAATTTTTTGGCCATTAAGGTTCGCGCTTTTTGCCAGCGGAGCACTATTTATTACCCCGGATCAATTACCGGATGGAGTATCGGACAGAATTGAGCTGGTTAATTTATATCTACAAAAAGCGCAGTCATTTAATTTTGGAGAAAGATGCGATCATTTAACAGTCCTCACTTTGGAAGTCATCTGCAATATCTGTTATCGTACTTTTCACTAATTTAGATATTAACAGCACCGAGGAAGCCATTCTTTATTTCAAGCTAGCATTACAACAAGCAAGAATTTCAGGAATCAACTCTGAACATGGAATATCAAAGATCTCTTTATTTGACTATGAAAAAGAGAATATCAGGAGGATTTGGTGGATACTGTATAGAGACTATTCATTTCTTTGCAACATTATTGGATTTAGAACGATGGACGACCAAGAAAATTTGCTGTTTCTACCTTCAAACAAATTCTATTTTGAATCCGCTCACTCTAGTGACTATTATGGGGTAGAAATCATGACCAGTGATGAATGGTATACCGCCTGTCTGCCTTGCCAAGAAGTTGATGGATACCATATGTTGCTGCAACGAATACAGTCTAAAATGTTTCACCACTTTGAAATAGAACTATCTGAAAATGACACTTTATCACTCTATAGTGCTGGGGCTATTAACGCATCGTTAGCAGACTGGATTCATTTATTCTCTCCCAATTTGCAAAAAGCATTTAATTCGGTGCGGAGCGGTGCCTTGGAAAACCGAGAAACAACTTGGTTTATAATCTACACGGCATTTGTCTACTGCAGTATCAGGGTGAACTTGATTATACCAACAATGATGCGGAATGTGATTAAGGGCAAAAAGGTCATGAAGCAGTTGTATTTCAAGGAAGCAATTGAATCCGCTGTGACGAGTACTAATTTAATACAGGTAGTCATTCAATTTAATCCCAAACTTGAATTTCTCGCGGCTGCTGTACTATTATCGCTGTTTCCCACGGGGTTCTTTTTGCTGTGTTGTGCCAAAATGGGAATACCAAAATGCGAAGAATATTACAAGCAACTGCTGGATGGCATCAAGAAGTTTAGCAGGGCTTTCCAAAAATTGAATCAGTTTTACGGCATTTTATTGCTTTTGCAATCAAAGGACTTGCTGGAGGCTGTGATGTATTATGGAATGTTCATCACCAGACAGAACACAGAACTCATGGAGAGGCCAGCTGCCCACCATATTGGGACATTTGCTGAATTAGATATTAAATAAATATAGTCGAAAGTTGAGATACAATTTTGAATCTGGCCATACATAGAATTGGGAAAAAGATCATATTCGTCTGATTAAAGCCATTTATTGGTTGCATAGTAGATTGCTACCGAATAGAATCATCTTGACAAAATCCAATATTTTCATGGAGTGGATTTTCTCAACTTCCCCGAAAAGCATGATTTTCAAAAAGATGACTTATTCCTGCGATTTCTGCACAAAAAGAGTACCAACTGTTTGATTTAGAAGCGCAGATGCGATAGGAAGCAGCCATGTTCGTTTTGTGAAAGCAGACATTCAAAATGCGAGTATTCCAAACAATGGGAATTTGAACTTCATTTGCTTAAGGTTGAAGAACGCATAAAACAAATGGAGCAAACCCTGCTGAGTCCTACCAACAGCGTCTTGCAAAGTAGAGAAAAGCTGCGGCCACAAATCAAACAAATCGTACTATCTAAAGAATTGGAGCAAGAATTGTTCACGAAAGATCACAATCATCTACTGGAATTAAGATTCAAAAGGTTTCCCAGTGTTATTTACGGAGTAACAGAGCAGTACTATAGGGGATCTGCAAAAATATTTCCACCACTTCGATTTGCGTTATTTGCAAGCGGCGCATTGTACATCCCACAAGAGCTTTTACCACTGGGGATCTCGGACAGGATTGTGCTTGTCAATATATACCTCCAGAAAGCGCAGTCTTTCGACTTTGCACACAAGTGTGACCACCTTACTGTACTTACCCTGGAAATCATTTTCAATATCCTCTACAGTATTTCTTCCTAACATAGATCTTAATTGCACTGAAGAAGCGATTCTGTATTTTAGGCTGGCATTGCTACACGCAAAAATTTCCGAAATTAACACTGAAGTTGGAATTTCAAAAATTTCCTCCTTTGATTACGAAAGGGAAAACATTCGGAGGGCATGGTGGTTGCTCTATAGGAATTATACCTTTCTATCTAAAGTACTAGGATACGGATCGATTGAAGACAAAGAAAACCAGATATTCCTTCCCTCAAACACTTTATATTTTGAAATGCATTCTGCTGCAGATTATTATGGAATTGAAATAATGACTAGCAGCGAATGGTACACAGCAAGTACTGGAGAGCTTGGTGTTAATGCTTACCACGCGATTCTGCACCGGATACAATCAAAAGTCCACCGCCATTTTGAACTTGAACTAACAGAAGAAAATGCATATTCATTATATACCGCGGGGGCAATTAACGCTTCTCTGAATGATTGGATGGATGGCTTTTCCCCTGTCCTTCAAAAAGGCATGTATAGTGTACGTGACCATTGCAAACATCGAGATACAGCCTGGTTAACCATTTATATCGCACTTATATACTGCAGTATCCGCATAAACCTGATACTCCCCTCGCTGATGCGGAATGTAATTAAAGGAAAGAAGGTTCAAAATTTAATGTATTTCAAAAATGCCTTGGACGCAGCGGTAACGAGCACACTGTTGGTGAAACTTGTTATACAATTCAACCCCACTTTTGAATTCTTTGCTACTGCTGCTCTTTTGACACTATTCCCTACTGGCTTCTTTTTGCTGTGCTGTTCGAAGCTTGGAATACCCTTTAGTGACGAATACTATAAGCAGATGCTCCATGGCATAAAGGAATTTAGTAGGGCATTTCAAAAGATTAACCAATTCCATTCTATCCTTGAAGTGTTGGAAACGCGCGAGCTGCTAGATGCTGTAATTTATTATGGAATCTTTGTTGCCAGGCAAGGGAGAGAATTCTATGAACGGCCCTCAAGCAAGCAATATTGATTTCAGCCATGTCATAATAAAGTACCAACAAGCTGAATTCTATCATGTGTCCGTTTAATAAACCGAGCCGTAAAAGTTTGATATTCAATGTGATTGGTTTATAAAAGTACGATTTCTGGATTTTCAGTGGGCTAATGGTCTAAGGGTTATGATTTCCGCTTAGGGTGCGGGAGGTTCCCGGTTCGAGTCCGGGTTAGCCCCAATTAAAACGGCAGTTGTTTTTGTAGTCTATACTTTTTGGCTTGTTGGGTAGTGGTTTCATGCGTCATTTTTACAGTGCAGTTTGTTAATTGAGTAAAGCCCCATTTAACGCCGTAAAATATTTGACAAAAATGAACAAGGAGGAAAATGTAAATACTTCAATATTAAATTTATTGGAAACATTTCCCACACCCAAAGCGCCTACATCTCCGCCTCGAGCACTACGGAAATCAACTTCAAGGATTGCTGATTTTGCAGAAATCTTGAGGAGGTATGTACAGTCTAAATTAGACCAGCGATTGTGGAAATTACTCTGCAAGAACAGCAGCAATTGTATACATATTTGATATCGCTTACACCCAGCGCATTGAATGATTTCCAGTATAAAACACGGCCGCGACTTGGGCAGGATATTGAAATCGATAATTATACTCTAATATTTCCACACTATTTAAATAGATTTCAAACAAAGAGCATCAGGTTGAAAGCAAAGTATCAAAATACAGTCAAATATTCACTAATTATGCCAAAAGTAGATACAAATTTTGAACTGCAGGTCGACCCATTAGGAGGCAAGCTCGGAGGAAGACAGTCTGAGGTTGATTTGGTTGTAAAATTAAATTGTCTGAACAAATCAGCAGTGGTGCTGAATGCGGTGATACAGATTGAAATCCAAGGAGGGCCAAGACATTTTGTGGTTATAAAATGCAGGAAAAAGGATACCAATAAACTGCTGCCTCCTCAACCAATGGAAGCTGATATAAATCAAAGGGATGCGATATTTCCCGGATCCAGCTACAGGTAGCCAATCTTAATGCTAGTATACCAAAAACTCTAGTTAGACTGAGGCTAATGTTGTTTGCAGTTGATGGGATAAAGTTAAAAGGCATATTTAGAGAAGCTGGGCAATCATGGGAAGTTCAAGCGCTGGAAACTCATTTGAAGAGGGGAACTTATTATTCATGCGCAGATGGCTACTCAATAGCCTCATGTTTAAAAGTACTTGTTACTAACAGTAGAACAATCTTAAAACTCTCCCAAGTGCTCCGTTTTTGAAAATCCCCAAAGATATTATTTATGGAACGCAGTCTTCGCAGCTGTGCTGGAATAGGCTTATCCTATCGTTCGCAGACAACTCTACTGAAATTAATCTAATAATGTGGGTCATTGACCTACTGACGACGGTAGTGATCAACGAAAAATACAATGAAATGGGAATCAAGAGTATAGGTAGCCCAATTTAATTCTAGTGACAGCAGTGGTGCCAAATCTATGCGACGCAGCAGATTCAGCTGAAATGTACCTGTTACTGCCAGCAATGATTTCATTCATGTCAAAGTTGGTCGAACATCGATTGGCGATCCAGACTCAAATAAAGTAATTGTATTTACAGTCGGCTAAGAGATCACAACTAAAACGTAAAAATTTATATTTAAACCTTTTCAGTCTTCAAGCCATCCTTGAAATAAGTAATGTAAGGAGTAATGCCGTCTTCACGGTAGTTCAAGAGACCGACAGCGCCTTCTGGATCCATAGATTCACCGACAAAGAATTCGTAATCTTTGATGTTGCCTAGGATCTTCTTGACGAATGCAGGAGCGTTGGCTTCAAATGTAGCAACACGATCTGGGTTGTGTTCTTGAAGATGAGCCTTGATGGTCTTCATGTATCCTTTGATGTATGACATGTAAGATTTCTTGTCAAATGAGGTTTCACTGAGGCGGAAAGTATAGACAACATTGTTGACAGTAACAGCGCCATCTTCCAATTGCTCTTCTTGTTCTTCAGCGGAAGCATTGGCACCAATGTCGACATCAGCACCTGGCATGACGGTAATGTTCTGAATTAAAACGTAACTACCTTGCAATCTATTTCAATAGCGATATCGTCAATTTCGCGGATTTCGAAAGCGTCAGAAGCCATTTCATCCCCAGAGATAATGTCCTTGTAAATAATCATTTTCTGTTGAGAAAAAAAATTTCAGTCAAGCAACGTTTCAGAGGAGAGGTGGCTGATATTGTAAACTTTGAAAATGAATCTGTTTGCAAACCCAGCTGACGAAGATATTGGTGAATTTTAGCTTACCGTAGAAAAAGCAACTTCAGAGAATCTTCCCATTGGAACTGAAGACCTTGCGACTAATTTGGACATTGCGGACAAAATCAAATCTGGCAAGATTTCGCCAAAGAACTATGTCGCTGCCATTAAAAAGAGGATCAACCATAAAAACCCCAATGTAACTCTTTTAGCTTTGAAATTGACCGACACCTGTGTGAAAAATAGTGGGAAATTGCTCTTGCAGGAAGTGACTTCGCGGGATTTCGTTGATAATTTAGTCTCGCTAGCCCGCCAATTGGTAATTATCGTTGACATAGAATACGCATGAGCAAGTACGAAAGAAATCTCTGGAGTTGATCCAAACATGGGCTGCCGCTTTCAAAGGAAGATCCGAATTTGTAATTGTATGTGAAACCTACGATATGCTCAGAAGAGAAGGTTTAGTTTACTAATACAGGGATGCAATTCCCTCCTATTGAAAAGGCTAATTCGCTGGCAGTGCTTTTTGAAACAACTACTGTAAGATCTATGCTTATTTAGGCACCAGAATGGACTGACAGCGATTATTGCATGAGGTGTAGGACGGATTTTACAACTTTCAATAGGAAGCATCATTGTAGAAATTGTGGATCTACGTTTTGTCAGGATTGCTCTTCCAAAAGTATTCCTTTGCCGCTGTTGGGAATTACAGATCCTGTACGTGTGTGCGACACTTGCCATTACAAGATCACTACAAAGACAGGAGATGTTGGATCTACGCCTGTAAAGTTAAATAAGCCGGCAAGAGTAGATTCAGACGATGATGAAGATTTAGCAAAAGCAATTGCAGAATCATTGGAACTGGCAAAGAAATCTACCTCCCTACCAAGGCCAAGAGAAGAAAAACCAAAAGCCAAATCAAAGGAAGACGAAGAATTGGAATTGGCTATTCAGGAATCACTAAAAGAGGCAGATAGACAGGGAAGACCACAATCAACCCCCAAGCATGAAACTAGATATGAGCAAACGAAGACAGAAGCAAAAGTAGGAGGATTGGCTGAATCTCAAGTTGAAAGTATCAGGATTTTCTGTGACTTGGTTGAAAAAGCAGATCGGGATGTTCAACAAGGAGGACTGGGAAATTTGAATCCAATCCCACTACAGACGACGTTTGCCAAAGTGTCTTCACTGCATCGTCCACTAGTAGATTCGTTGTCAGAGGCGGCTGACAAGTACAAAGCCTTATATGATCTGAACACTGAACTAACAAATGTAATCAAAGATTATGATGTATTGCTACAGCAAAGATTACAATATTCGCAAAGTGTTTCCGGTGGACTTGGATCAAATCCCCAATATGGATATCCTTCGTATGGTAATTTCATATTAATCATAGGAACCTATCAAGGACATAGTTTTAATCCCGGCCCGCCGTATGCTCCAGGACATCAGTCAAATCCTTCGCAGTCATACGGCCAGCAATATCCTGTGCAAGGCGGATATTCTCCTGCACAATATCCCCCACAATCACAGGGCGGCCATCCTGTACACCATGCACCACCAGCCCAGTATGCAACATCGCAAACTTCAAATACTTCAACCCCACAATACGCTCCGTCCCAACCACCAGCCAATCAACCATATACTCCTTCACATCCTCCAAACACAGCCCAGTATGAACAGTCAACCGCTCCTAGTCAACCAGGAGCAAACGATCAATACTCTGCACCACCAGGAAACCAATATGTCCCATCTCAACCACCAACCGGTGAATATGCAGGAAATCAAGAATACGCACCATCTCAACCTCAACAATATCCACAGCAATTTAACTCACAACCTAATCAATATGGTCAGCAATCGCAACAATATAACCCAAATGGTCCACACTACCAAGCGCATCCCCCACAACCTGGGTATCCAAACCAAAATCAACAACAAAATCAACAGCAGCAAAATCCACCAGCCAAACCTCAAGAAGCACCGTTAATTGAGCTCTAGTATATTGATAATAAATTGTATTCGTTCTTTATTGAAACAGTTTGGCGGTCTGATAGACAGACTTTTCATCATGCTTTGCGTCTATAGCAGCCGCTTAGTATTCCCAAAGTGTTGAAAAAGTACTTTTTTGATTAGTACTAATTTCAGAGAATTTTAACTTTGAATCTTCAAAATGGAATCTGTACTTTGTGTAATTAGAGAATGTTTTGTTTATAAAATACCGCCACGAAATTCAGCACAAGGATACAGGTAAACTATACTAATTCAGAGCATCGGATTGGGATGTAAATTCATTTCTATGGACCGGAAGACTGAGAATGATATCGGTAGGTGATGATGTAGCTCTTCATCTGGAGGACAATACAACAGGAGAATTGTTTGCAAAATGTCCAATAACTGACGGTGCGGTTGAACCGGTTCTGGATTCATCTCGTTATTTCGTAATCAAAGTAGTCGCGCCGACTGGCCAATATGCATTTGTTGGACTGGGATTCCAAGAACGGTCGTACGCATTTGACATGAATGTAGCTCTACAAGACCACCAAAAGTACTCTGGTATTAACATAGACGGGTAAACAATAAAGGAGCGATCCAGGAGCAACCTAAATTTGAATCTATTGATTATTCGTTAAAAGAAGGCCAGAAAATTGAGATTAGTCTGAACGGATTCAATAAGGAAAAGAAGGATAAAGTAGGCGATTTTTCAAAGTTTGTCATTGCACCACCTCCAAGCAACCAGAAGTGGGATGATTTTGGGGATTTCAAGTCTGATACTGATGGATGGACTTCTTTTGAATAAATTATGTTGATTATTGACTAATGAATTGG